ACGTGCCCAGCGAACTGCTGCTCGGTAACTATACTTATATACATCACTAGCGACGCGGGGCTCTGTCTGCTCGACCTCGAGCGCGCCCAGCTCACGCCGCGCCGCCAGCACGCGCCCGTCGCCGCCATCGCGTACGTGCCCAGCGAACTGCTGCTCGGTAACTATACTTATATACATCACTAGCGACGCGGGGCTCTGTCTGCTCGACCTCGAGCGCGCCCAGCTCACGCCGCGCCGCCAGCACGCGCCCGTCGCCGCCATCGCGTACGTGCCCAGCGAACTGCTGCTCGGTAACTATACTTATATACATCACTAGCGACGCGGGGCTCTGTCTGCTCGACCTCGAGCGCGCCCAGCTCACGCCGCGCCGCCAGCACGCGCCCGTCGCCGCCATCGCGTACGTGCCCAGCGAACTGCTGCTCGGTAACTATACTTATATACATCACTAGCGACGCGGGGCTCTGTCTGCTCGACCTCGAGCGCGCCCAGCTCACGCCGCGCCGCCAGCACGCGCCCGTCGCCGCCATCGCGTACGTGCCCAGCGAACTGCTGCTCGGTAACTATACTTATATACATCACTAGCGACGCGGGGCTCTGTCTGCTCGACCTCGAGCGCGCCCAGCTCACGCCGCGCCGCCAGCACGCGCCCGTCGCCGCCATCGCGTACGTGCCCAGCGAACTGCTGCTCGGTAACTATACTTATATACATCACTAGCGACGCGGGGCTCTGTCTGCTCGACCTCGAGCGCGCCCAGCTCACGCCGCGCCGCCAGCACGCGCCCGTCGCCGCCATCGCGTACGTGCCCAGCGAACTGCTGCTCGGTAACTATACTTATATACATCACTAGCGACGCGGCCCGCCAATTACTGGCTCAGAACCTGACACATGTACACCTGGCGGAGATAACTAATTAAATGACGATTGATCAGTTTTCGTCCGGAGAGGAAAAATTATTTAAAATAAGGGTTGATCGTAGAAGAGTGAACATTAAGGATTGTACGTATTTTTGTATATTGTTTGCTTAAAAAAAAAAAAATTAAAAATTTTGTTTAAAAAATTTTAAAAAAAATTGTGGTGGAGTACCCCTTACATTTAGGGGGATGAAAAATTGATGTTTGCCGATTTTCATAGATACCGGAAAAGCACAAAAATTTTCAACAAAATCGGTTAAGCCGTTTCGGAGCTAGTACGGCAAGGGAAGCTGACACGAGAATTTGATATATTAAGATTAACACCAATGATATTATAACTCAAAACCTGTAGATAGGTTACAAGCGCTCAGCAAGTGATACATTAAAAGGTGACTAACTAGCCACACTTTTTCATATTTGTCTCTTTTTCACTCGCGATTATTGAATCATGCCATCCCACTTTAACGTGTATCATACGATTTATTCTTATGTGCATTAGTGTGCCGTTTTTGAAAATCGAATTTTGTTTATGTAACCAATCTACACCATTTTACTTATAATATCATTGTATAACAACTATAAAGTATGGGAGACCCATGCTTTAGCACGAATGGTTCGGCTCGACCACGGCCTCACAGAAAACCGTCGTGAAACTGCGATGTGGGGATGAGGAGGGGTTAAGTAAACAACATGGTGTGTATTACTTAGCGAGTCAATTGTGAACTGAGACTCAACTGTACTCAGCTATAGTCCTCAACTGTGTTCTCTCCTTTAATAGTTGATTTAAATATACCTAGATGGTTCGTGACTACGTGCTAACACTAAACCTACGGAAACAGTATGTTTACCTTAACTTAACCCTGAACAGCTTAACAGCTTAACCCTCAACTTCTTCCTTTGATGTTGTGCTCCCCATGGCTTGTGACTCGATATGACGTTAAGCTCACCGAAGTCTAGTCAACTTGTGCTGCTGTGATTCGCTCGAACGGAGAACTATAACGCCGTCCAGTCGACTGGCAGGGTCGCCATGCGATGTGGGGATGAGGAGGGGTTAAGTAAATCGCACTACTACAGCAGGATGAAAAACCAAGATTTGAAGATTGAATGCCTCATTCGACATCGGTGAATGCCAACGGATTTCATAGCTACGTGCTATATTCAAAGAAATCCTTTGATATTCACCGGTATCGCGTGGTGTAATACATCGCCTCTTACTCGACTGCGCCAACGATAAAAGAAGGATTTTGTTCCAACATTTTCGTAATAGTATGCTTGTTTTTGCTTAGGGTTAGCGCAGATTGTAGAGATCTATTTTTTTATCTGGATAAAGTAAGTAAATTTAATTTTATTACGGATTTGTCGTCCTAGCATAATCTGTACTGCTTCAAAATGTTTTCAGACCCCGACTTTTACAATTATTTCAAGACTAAACTTAGCCAAATCGGTCCAGCCGTTCGCGAGTTTTAGTATAACTAACGAACAACAATTCATTTTTATATACCAAGATTTGTAGGCACCACTTCACTGAAATTCGTTATTTTATAGCTGCTATTATTTGGTAACCGTCTGTTGTGACGTAGCAGATGACTCGACGCGACGGAACTTATAAAAGCGCTCAACGCCATTAAAATATAAAAAAAAAACTATCTAAACAGCCATAATTAGGTATACTACATCTAAGAAAATCTGTTATCTAGGCTATAAGAATTCAAAGGTATACGATGCAAAATTTCATCGAAACAATTTCATTTTTACTAACAATCTTACCCCCGGTTTCCGAAAGGCCGATCAATGTTAAAATCAATTTAATCTCTTGTCAAGTCATCTGATTGGTTGACTGAATTATCAACAACCAATCAGATGACTTGACAAGAGATTTAACAGGAGATTAGTTAATTTTAGTAGTTAATTTTAGCGTTGACAAGCCTTTCAGAAACCGGGTGGTAGTCTATCGAATCGTATACTCGTAGATTCATCTGTGTATGAAATAATAATATTTTATGTGCCTTTGTCTTTTGTGGTAGTCTGCGCTAATCCTAACCTTCTAATATTGTTTGTTCACTCAAATACTGAAACATAAAAAACACACACAAAGTTACGATATCTCTATTTCCAAGAAAGTGGTACTTGGGAAATTTTACATAAGTAGTTTCAATATGAAATGTTTGAGTATTTGAGCTAATAATTGCTTAATTTATAATTAAATATGATGTATTTTGTATCTTCTATCTTGTGTTTTATTCATTATTAACTTGTGTTTTTGTTTTGTATTTATGTGAAACTGTGAACGATTGTATTTTGTCTATTTATATCTATAGTCAGAATTTTAAGTCTATTCCTGATTTGACATGACCTATTGTCATTTTGTGAAATAATGATACCACATATAACAGTGTAGTGATGTCACAAAAATCGATAAACAATCGGTGAATCAGTTTCAAGAAGGCATTCAAAAAATTACGGCTACCCAATGGTCTAAATGCGTATCCCATGTTGTCAAAGAAGAGGAAAAAATGAGTAAGCTAGGTATTTTAATTGACAATAAAAATCACAGACACAATTCATAATAAATGTTACAGAAAGTAACAGCGATAGCAATAGCAATGACGGCGACATTTTATAAAATTTCTGTTTTATTTGTCACATTCCTTCATGATCACATTTTTAATTAATTTCACACACAATTACAAAAGAAAAGTCTCAGATCGTTAATTAATTGTCAAAACTAAATTATCAGTTCAGAAATATTTTATTTCCTGATAAACTTAGTTTACGAGATTAAATTTATAAACGAGAGGAATCGATTCAGAAATATTCGATTTCCACATCGAATAATTTCGCAACGTCACTATTTGTTACGTGTCATAACGTTGCAACACTGAAATTGTCAAATCTGGAATGGAATTAAAATTCCGAGTATAGTTGTGTTAATGTAGAAAAAAATAAATATCCAATTCTGTATATTAAAATAAGATGGCTACTAAGTTTTAATGTAAAAATAGAAATCATATAGTTACAAAAATGTATGTTTACAACAATGATGGATAATTTTATATAATCTCAATACATTTCAACCTACGGCATGCAAAGTACTTATTTATAATTTATAATGTAGTGCAAAATTATATATATATATTTTAACATAATAGAGTATTCTATCCTACATATAATATTATGTATAAAAATATATGGGTAAAATAAATAAAAAGATATGGGTACAATTACGGGACAATTTTTGTTAGTGCTAGTGAAATGATCCAATTGTTTGGGCTTATATCTACGTATATATATAATTTGCTTTTAATTTTAAATTGTAATGTGCCATGTGCTATATAATAATAAAACCTTCCTATTTCTATCATTTATCATAATCTATATAACTAGCTGCCCGCCCCCACTTCGCACGGGTACTATCCTAACAACAAAAGGGTCAGTTTTCCAAATTATCCACTCTACTTTACTAATATTTTCTTAATTATAACTATATCATTATAAAAACATAATCACAGATAATACTAATTTTTTTTTATATTTAAACACGTTGTCCCACATTAGGGATTTTCTCCTGTGTCGTGGGTGCGTTTACAAACATACAATTTCACATGCACATCACACCCAGACCCGGAGCAACAATCTGTGGATCACACAAAGAGTTGTTCCGTGCGGGAATCGAACCCGCGACACGTTGCGCGGCAGCCAGTTGCCCAGCCACCGCGCCAACCGTGCAGTCTCACTCAGAAATCAATCAGAATCTATATTATCTGTCTAATAATAAAAAGTCAAAAATTACGATTGTTTATTTGTTTGGATTGTTGCTTCGACCTGCTTGACTAGATGTTAATAGGATATAAACAGCATAGCATAGGTGTAACAACAAGTCTTATGTAAAAATTTCGTGTCACAATGTTAGTTACCTTACTCCTCCAAAACGGCTTTAAGTACTAATTTAAGATCTTTAAGATTTTACCAAACTATATGTGCATTTTCAATAGGTCTGAGAAACGACTATTGGCTATATTTAATACTTCTAAGTGACAAGGGTTGTTGACTCTTAACATTTTTTTTTTCGAAATAATTTATATGACAAAATGACGTTTCCGGGGTCAGCAAGTAATTTATAAAATTGTTTGGTTACAGTGGTGATAGCGGGACGAGGTCGACACGTCCGATTAGTACCAATCCGTGCACTAGAGTGCGCTGAAGTGGAGTGTATCAAACTAGCGGAGAGTAAAGGCGCGATCTCACTCACCGCCGGCCCCCTAGGGCACGGTGCACATGGATTTGCCGTATTGTGTAAAAAGCAGGTCCGTAAGTTTATATTATTATGTATGTGTGTGTGTTGTGAAGTATTTTAATGATAAGTACTCGTAAAATAACTACTCTTCGGTTCCCGGAATTTTCAATCTCCGATCCTCGAAATGTTGTCTTTCGATTCTCGGAATGTCCACTTGATAACCATAAAATATCCTTTACTATGATTCCCTCTCTAGGAAATTTCCACTCTCCGATTCTCGAAATGTTGTCACTCATCGAACCTCGAAATTTCCATTCACCGATCTTCGAAATTTCCACTCACCGACCTTTGATATTTCCACTCACTGATATTTGAAATTTCCATGTACCGATCCATAATATATCCTCTCTCCGATTTTCAAAATATCTTTCTTTCGATCCTCGGTATGATTTGGCAATGAGTAGAATTAATTTTATAGGATTTAGATAGTTTGGAGTCGTAATGTGTTGTACGTTTGCAGAACGCGTACGTGGTGAACGTGTACGAAATAACGCGCACGGCGGCGCGGCGCGTGCGCGTCGCGGAGCTGCGCGCGTGCGGCGCCGTGCTCAGTCTGCAGCTGGCCGGCGCGCGACTCTTGCTGGGCTACCGCGGGGGCATCGCCGCCCACGCCTTGCCCGACCCGCGCCGTCCCCACCACGACCAGCCCGCCGTCTGTACGTACCCCGCCACTATACTATACATCTCGTTGCTGGGGGCATCGCCGCCCACGCCTTGCCCGACCCGCGCCGTCCCCACCACGACCAGCCCGCCGTCTGTACGTACCCCGCCACTATACTATACATCTCGTTGCTGGGGGCATCGCCGCCCACGCCTTGCCCGACCCGCGCCGTCCCCACCACGACCAGCCCGCCGTCTGTACGTACCCCGCCACTATACTATACATCTCGTTGCTGGGGGCATCGCCGCCCACGCCTTGCCCGACCCGCGCCGTCCCCACCACGACCAGCCCGCCGTCTGTACGTACCCCGCCACTATACTATACATCTCGTTGCTGGGGGCATCGCCGCCCACGCCTTGCCCGACCCGCGCCGTCCCCACCACGACCAGCCCGCCGTCTGTACGTACCCCGCCACTATACTATACATCTCGTTGCTGGGGGCATCGCCGCCCACGCCTTGCCCGACCCGCGCCGTCCCCACCACGACCAGCCCGCCGTCTGTACGTACCCCGCCACTATACTATACATCTCGTTGCTGGGGGCATCGCCGCCCACGCCTTGCCCGACCCGCGCCGTCCCCACCACGACCAGCCCGCCGTCTGTACGTACCCCGCCACTATACTATACATCTCGTTGCTGGGGGCATCGCCGCCCACGCCTTGCCCGACCCGCGCCGTCCCCACCACGACCAGCCCGCCGTCTGTACGTACCCCGCCACTATACTATACATCTCGTTGCTGGGGGCATCGCCGCCCACGCCTTGCCCGACCCGCGCCGTCCCCACCACGACCAGCCCGCCGTCTGTACGTACCCCGCCACTATACTATACATCTCGTTGCTGGGGGCATCGCCGCCCACGCCTTGCCCGACCCGCGCCGTCCCCACCACGACCAGCCCGCCGTCTGTACGTACCCCGCCACTATACTATACATCTCGTTGCTGGGGGCATCGCCGCCCACGCCTTGCCCGACCCGCGCCGTCCCCACCACGACCAGCCCGCCGTCTGTACGTACCCCGCCACTATACTATACATCTCGTTGCTGGGGGCATCGCCGCCCACGCCTTGCCCGACCCGCGCCGTCCCCACCACGACCAGCCCGCCGTCTGTACGTACCCCGCCACTATACTATACATCTCGTTGCTGGGGGCATCGCCGCCCACGCCTTGCCCGACCCGCGCCGTCCCCACCACGACCAGCCCGCCGTCTGTACGTACCCCGCCACTATACTATACATCTCGTTGCTGGGGGCATCGCCGCCCACGCCTTGCCCGACCCGCGCCGTCCCCACCACGACCAGCCCGCCGTCTGTACGTACCCCGCCACTATACTATACATCTCGTTGCTGGGGGCATCGCCGCCCACGCCTTGCCCGACCCGCGCCGTCCCCACCACGACCAGCCCGCCGTCTGTACGTACCCCGCCACTATACTATACATCTCGTTGCTGGGGGCATCGCCGCCCACGCCTTGCCCGACCCGCGCCGTCCCCACCACGACCAGCCCGCCGTCTGTACGTACCCCGCCACTATACTATACATCTCGTTGCTGGGGGCATCGCCGCCCACGCCTTGCCCGACCCGCGCCGTCCCCACCACGACCAGCCCGCCGTCTGTACGTACCCCGCCACTATACTATACATCTCGTTGCTGGGGGCATCGCCGCCCACGCCTTGCCCGACCCGCGCCGTCCCCACCACGACCAGCCCGCCGTCTGTACGTACCCCGCCACTATACTATACATCTCGTTGCTGGGGGCATCGCCGCCCACGCCTTGCCCGACCCGCGCCGTCCCCACCACGACCAGCCCGCCGTCTGTACGTACCCCTCCACTATACTATACATCTCGTTGCCTCCACTCTTCGGAGCTCTTCTCATCCCACCACTGCCAGCCACCCTGCTGGAGTTGGAGGGCGCCCTACACTACGTTTGCCTAGACGTGGTCTTCACTCTAAAACATACATTCATACACAACTCGAATTCAGACTGCTCGAGTAAAAAATTACAAAATAATTTAATTATACCTGATCTTTAATTATATAATTTTGTTATTTATCCTCAGCCCTGGTACACCCGGAGAACCAAGTAAACGTATTCCTGTCTCACTCGGGAGCCCGGCCGCTGGGGGCAGCGCCCCTGGCCTGCGGAGACACCCTGCTAGTCTTCAACTCGCTGGCTCTATACGTGGACCGACACGGGCATCGAGCCCGGGATACAGAACTCATGTACACCGCACATCCTACGCACCATGGTACTATAAATTTATTATTTTTAAAACAATTTATTTTTATGTTATAGGTCGGCAAACTAGCAAACAGATTACCTGATGGTAAGCAATCGGCGTCGTCCATGGACACTCACAACATCAAAGGAGGCACAAGTGCGTTTGCCGGCCTTTTGGGGGGAAAGGTTTCGGATAATTAAGGATTGGGAAGGAATGGGGAGAAGGGGAGGGATTGGGCCTCCGGTAACCTCACTTACATAGCGAAACACAAGGCCGTTATTGATTCACGCCGGTTTTCTCTGAGGCAGTGGTATCGCTCCGGTCTAGCCAACTCGTATTATTTATCTTTACGTAAAAAAATGTATCAGCCATTTTGGGGTATATTTTTTTTAAATGAAACTTACAAGCAATTTTATTTGTTATCCCTTCAAAGAATACGAATCTTATATATAAAAATGGATCGCCAATTGTGTTGGTTAGCGCATAACTCAACAACGCCTGGACCAATTTTGCTCATTATTTTTTTGTTATGTTTGTTATTGTCAGGAGAAGGTTCTTATCAAAGAAAATATTATATAAATTAAACCCGTGCGAAGCGGGGGCGGGTCGCTAGTACTTATATAAGTTTTTCTATTACAGCAATCAACGACACGCATCTCCTAATATTCACTGCGACGCACATCGATGTATACGATATAGAAACTGGCGACTGGGTACAAACTATGAATATACGTAAGTTCTTTAAAATTTTATTATTTTCGTCTTAGTAGTAATTAAGTCAAAAGTCCAATGTAAAGTATAATGAAGAGACCAACACTTACGCATACTATTTATTATACATACATACCACATGTAACAAATATACTTTAAGTTGTTTTTGTAAACCGTTTTTGACGACATATTTCAATAAAACCTGTGAGAACCTCGATTTACGATTTCCAATTATTATTATAACATTGAAATCACAAATCCGCTTTGAGGAAGCCTGGTGATTAATGCTCATCCCTTTTCCTTGTGAGAAGATGCCTTTGCTTAGCAGTGGATACATATAGAGACTGATGACAGATACCTTAGAACGTAATAGTTACAGCGCAGTTACACTGTTCTCACATATCGACTGCACGGTAGGTGCGGTGGCTGGGCAACTGGCTGCCGTGCAACGTGTCGCGGGTTTGATTCCCGCACGGAACAACTCTTTGTGTAATCCACAAATTGTTGTTCCGGGTCTGGGTGTCATGTGTATGTGAAATTGTATGTTTGTAACCGCACCCACGACAATAAAAAACAAATAGAAAATCCTAATGTGGGGCAACGTTTAAAAAAAAAAATAGAACTGACTAAACCACGTAACAAAGAAATGAATTGTGAAACTGATTGAAAATGAGTAACCATGGAATTTCTTGCTCGTTCTTCTCCTAATCTACACTTTGGAATGAGCAAATAGCTTCACTAGAAGACAGATCGACAGACTAACGCATACAAAGTGCACTTTTAAATTATTTTTATTTTTGTTGGTTTGTTCAAAATTGCCTACAGTGGTGTATTTGAAATAAATGATTTGACTTATACTTTGTATTTTTTAGCGAACGCCCGGCCGCTAGACGAAGAAGGCTGGATCTGTTGCGTGGGCGGGGGCAGTGGGAACGGGTTCCCATTCTCAAGCGACGCCGCGCCATTCATCATATACCTCCGACCGTTGTTGACACGTAAGTCCCTGTTACCTTACTGTATTCGAATCATACTAGTTTTATTGTTAGGTAGGTTCTGTACAAGAATATATTTGAACACTAGCTTTCGCACGCGGTTTCGCCCTCGTGGTATGTTGATAAAAAGTAGCCTATGTCCTATTCCGGAGTGTATGATGTGATTGAGTAACAAACATCTAAACATCGTAACTTTCGCATTTATAATAATATTAATAAGATTAAACAGGATAGTTTTCCACTAGTCGATAACCTTAGCTTTTCAGTTATCGACAGTTACCTTTCAATCGTGGTAATTCAAAACACACTAGAACAGTATGTGCGCGTCATTCGCTACGGGTTCGTAATTCATCAAGAATTAATAATAATAATTAAATTGTGGTAAATAGTCCTGCATCAACCGGGGATTGTCCTTGGGTGCACTTATATAGTGCATACAGGGATAATTTCCGGCTGATGTCCCATCACATTTAGATTAAATCTGTTCAACGGGCCTCTGCGAGTTGGCTTCGGCTCCTCGTACGCCTTCCAAAGGTCCGGGACCCTGTGGTCCCGTGAAAGGAAATAACAATTATATTGTGGTATAAAAGTATACGCGAAATATCTGCGCTACCTTGAAGTCTTAGATAAAACTCTTAAGTCCATATAATATGACACTTTTCGTTATGCCTATATCATCAGATCCCCGAGCATCCGACCCACCGTTGAGCGTTGACACGTCGTTATGGGGCAACAAGAGAAGGTTCTCCGTACGGGAACAGTCACACCAAGCGATTGAAGCGCACAATAGATTGTAAGTATTGTACTTTGTTATACAAAAATTAAAAAACCTTGTTGATATACAGAATATAAAATATCAAAATATTGTCGTTTATTAACGTCGCAATTCGTTCTTAAACATAGAGTCTATAAAATTACATTTATTTTGTTACTTTAAACTTTCAACCGTGGTAATTCGGGACACAATAGTGTCGCTTGACGTTTGTTATAAAATATCTGTCGTTAAAATTGTGTCTTACTTAAATCTATGCTATTCTTTTAAATTCTTTCCGGTGTTACAATATTTTTAAATTATTATTTTTGCGTTATCTATATTCGGTGTATACCTGCATACACACCACCACAATCAGGCGAGAGTTGCCGAACGCCAAAAAAATATTTTAAAGGCAATTTATAAAAATGTAACATGAATTAGACTTTTTAAAATTATCTTCAACATGCAAGTTGTAACACTTGAAGCTGCCAATGTTCATTATATTCGCTTACAGATCAGAAAGGCGGTCGCGTCTAATATCAGCTCCTACGAACTTCGCACATTTGTCACACATGGGCCCCGGGGACGGGATCCGGTCGCAACGACTTCTGGACCTTCCCACCACAGTCGAGACTGCTGATGATCATCCACAGGTACATAATCATTGTATCTATTTTAAGAAAATTATTGAGAAATCGAATTTAATTACTATTTCACATTGTTTTGATCGAAGTATAGCTTAATCTCGTCGGTATTGGCAGAATTCATGAGCTTCAGAATAGTAGTGAATTAATTTTATAACAGATTGCTCAATCCGAGCTATTTTCAACTTAGGGCTGATTTTTCATTGATTAGATGAAAGTTGCCTTGGGAATAATTATAATGTCGTCGCGTCACAATGTCTGTATAAGACAGTGACAGCAACAATTTTATTCCTCAAACAACATTTATCTGACTTTTGAAAAACCAGGCCTAAAAGTTTTATTGCATTAAGATATTGAGTATTTTAATGCGTATGTATTTGTTATTTACAGATGTACAGTAGTCGAGAAAGTAGTAAACGAACGTCACCCTTAACGATATCGCACGGAACTGGCTCCTACAATGGTATGAAAATCTTTTTATATTATGTTTTTTTTTATTTATTTAATTATTTACTTTCTTATCCTAGCTATTAAGCTAGCTAATCAAAGACCTTCCTCAATAACTTTTAGATTGGTTCGTTAGAAAAAATCTACTTCGAGTGGTTCTTTGCAAGCTTTATTTCCTTATTAGCTCCCAGCCTAAATTTAAAACTGGAACATCCCATTAGTGCTGACCCCACATGAGGCGTGTGCGATCGTCGGGCGTGCGAGCAGGGTGTAGCCGGCGTGTGCCGTATGTAGCGACGCTATCCCCGTCGCCTGCTACTGTTGCACTGTCTTATTTCTTTTTTCTAGCAAACCTAACCGTAGTCTTTCCTTGTCTGACTCCATTTTGTTAGTCTTTGTAGAACAATTTACGAAAGAAGTTTGAGTGGGTTGCCGCCCGCCGTTTGGGAATAAGGATTGGAAATGGATAGGGAGGGATTGGCCTTCAGGACTCGCACAACGAAACACAACGCTGTGGTTGTTACACGCCAGTATTCCGTGACGCCGTGATACCTATTTATTCGTGCTATCAATATCAATCAATCATCATAATTCAATTTTTGACATTCGTTTCTGTCAAAAACTGAGATCGATATATCAGTTATTTATATTAATTGTTGATTTGATAATATAGTAAAATTCTAATTTGTGATGTTCCCAGGGTCGTGGCGCAGCGCAGGTCGACGAGACGGCCCATGCGACCCCCCCGCGTCCCCGCCGCGCATGGAGCGCTCGCTGGGCGGGGGCTCGCAGGGCAGCGGGTCCCTGCTGGAGCGGTCCATCACTCCGCTCAGTCTCGGCAGCATGAGCTCACTGCATGATGTACTCAAGGTAAATATCATTTTGTTAAGCATCCTTTCATTTTTATCGCTCTTGTGTGTCTTCTTACTTCTCTGCTATTCTTTCATCTATTCTTCTACGATACACCCGTTTCTTCAGCATTTTTGGTTAATCATTTTATTGCTCGTTTACTACCCCTTCTTTCCGATCGTCTTTTCTTACTTCTTCTTCGCTGACCGTCTTTTCTACACTTTCTCTCCGATCCCCTCTTTCCTTTCCTTACCTCTTCTTTCCAATTGTTTCTTTCCTTACTATTTCATCGCTTACCCACCCCTTTTCTGTCTCTTCTTCCCGATCCACTCTTTCCTCACATCTTGTTTGTCGACTCTCTTTTTCTAACTCTTCTTTCCGATAGCCTACTTACCTTTACCTTACCTTACATATTCCTTCCCTTTTCCTTTTATAGTTTAATTTTACTTCGTAAACTCATGAATGAATGAATCCTTGTGTAATTGCAGGTTGGCACAGAGCTAGGCGACGGTCTACATTCAGAGGACAGCAGTTGTGGAGCTTCGCCCCCACATCCTATGGATCCTTGATGGTGAGGGCCCTGTTTACTCTCTTCAAAACAATATCTTATGTCAGTTATTATTACAAACGTTATTCAGTACTTCTTCATTGTTCTATAATATCAGATAATCTACTACTTGGACTCCTTTCTATGTTTAGTCTGTAGTTTAGTAGGCAAACGAGCAGACCCATTACCTGATGGTAAGCAATCGGCGCCGCCTGACACCCGCAATACCAAAGGAGTTACCAGCGCGTTGCCGGCCTTAGGGGAAAGAGGAAGGATTGGTATGTTTGTTTTATGGATCTTAAGTCCTGAAGTCACAGTCTGACTATAGGTGTCATTATGTGCCATGGGATTAGAGCCACTTTATGAGGAAGTGTGTTAAAAAAAATTTGTATGATAAAGTGACATTGTTTTTACAGAAACCAACTGAACTCACCATGGACACTGGACATGTCCCGTTTCTACGCTTGCTTTTGTTGAAATTTTATATTCGTTGCGATCGGGACAACAAACTGTACTTGGTGTCCTACTCACAGAGTTCAAAATGCCGTAGCAAGTGACGCTTTAAATTATACAGCGCCATGTTTGTGATAGATTTATTGCGCGACGATGATAATTTATACAATAATTGTAAATATTCTGGATGACAATAATGTTTTATAAATTATGTAAGTACATTGAGTACAAATTTGTATCTGCCTATACCTCGTTATAGGCGTTAACTTTTAGTTTTCATGTTTATACACACACATACAACAAACATTAATTTATATTCCTTATCCAACAAATTGGATATATTTGAATATCCAATAAAAATTAAATCTATCAT